TCTTCGTTCTTTCGTCGCGTCTCTTCTCCTCTCTCTTATTGTCTCTCCGTCGGTCTGTCTTTCTCTCTCTATCTCCTCATCTTTCTCTCTTTGTCACTCCTTTCTTGTCCTCTCTTTCCGTCTCCTCTTCCTTTCTCCCTCTTCTCTTTCCCTCTTCTTTCTTTTCTCTCTCTCTCTTTTCTCTTTCTCTCTCTCTTTCTTTCTTTTTTCTCTTTCTTATTTTTTCGCTTTCTCTTCTTTCTCTCTCTATCTCTTTATCTCTCTATCTATCTATCAATCCATCTTTTTTCTTTTTTCTTTTTCTCCTTTCTTTTCCTCTCTCTCTCTATCTATCTTATCTATCTATCGTGTATGGAGCGTGTTGTCGGGTAGCATGGTTGTGTGGAGGAGGGTGCGCAGTTAGTGTTGGTGGGTGCGGGAGTCTGCTCTATCCTATAGTGTAGAGTGTGTTCTGTGATGTTGTGTGTCGATAAGCGATAGAGAGACTTTGTCCTCTCGTCTCATCTCTCTCCCATTTCCTCCATCCTTTCCTCCTCCGCCTCTCTCTCCTATGCCCTTACTCATCTCTCTTTCCTTCTCATCATCTCTCCCTTTCTCTCCGGCCCTAGAGGTGTCGTGACCTCCGTGTGAACTGATAGGACTAACGGGCGAGGGCAAGTGGTTATTAAAAGCAGAGTATCCAGCAGTGGAAGTGAGTGATACCTATCACAATTAGTCACGATGCTTACGCAGATGGGGGGCGATGTGGCGAGAGCTGTCTGTACGGAGGACTTCTGCCTCTCTCTTTCTCTCTGCGACTCTCCACTTTCATGGTCTCTCTCTCTCAGGTTGACGATGGTCTCGCGACCCCTCCTCTCTCTCTCTCTCTCGCTGCATCTCTCTTCTATACTTCATCTCTCCTCCGGCGGCCTGCCCCCTCCCTCCCTCTCTCTCTCATACTCTCTCTCTTCTACTCTTCGGATCTCGCATTCTGCGATCCTCTCCTCTCTGCATCTCTCGCCGTCTCTGTCCCTCGACTGACTCTCCCGTCGTGTCTCCCTTCTCTCTCAGCGTTGCCTCCCTCGTTCCTCTCCCCCCCACCTCCCTCTCTCCCCTCTCCTCCTCCTTTATCGTCTCCCTCTCGTCTCCTTTCTCTCCCTCCGTCCCTAGCTCAGTCCCCGTCTCTCATTCTCTCTCTCCTCTCCCTCGTCTGCTCTCTCTCTCCCCATCTCTCTCTCTCTCCCTTCCCTCGCCCTCTACCTCGTGCTCCCTCCCTCTCCCACTCCCCTCTCCGTCTCCCTCGTCCCTCCTCCCCTCCCTCCTCCTCTCCCCTCCTCCCCTCTCCCTCCTGTCTGCCCCCTCCCCTCTTCCTTTCTTCGCTTCCCTCCTCTCCCTCTCTCCCTCTCCCTCTCTCCCTCGACATGCTATTCGCCGCCTCTCTCGCTCTCGCAGCAGCCGTGTCACCCGATCCCGCAGCCGAGCTTGTAAAACTAAGAACCATACTGCCCCTGTCATACAATCCCACGTCACGGCCAGGGCGAAGGGAGGGCGTGCATGAGGCAAGCGGTGTCGTGTGTGAGTCAAGAAGTGTACCAGGTGTTCTAGCAATGAGGACAGAGAGTGGATGTTTGTTTACTTGTTGACTCGCCGATCGCGTTGTCTCGTTGGAGATCGGGGTAGTGGGAGGGTAGAGGGGGTGGGGGTAAGGGGGGGATCGCGTCTGTTTTGGATTTGTTGTTGTTGTTGTTCTTGGTATGATTATTTTCTTTTGTTTTTTATGTTTGTTAGTTTTTTTAACTAGAGGGATTAAGAAATGTCAGGAGTGTGAGCACCTTTATCTACGTCATTTTAGCCTATTATCCTGCGATAACGAGATGCGTTATCACATATCTCGTTTCCGGAATCGCGACCTCTGCTCACCTCTATCCACAGATTTTTTTTTTTTTTTTAGTTGGCGAATCCGAGCTAGAGACGAGCGCGCGCAAACGAATAAAGAACGAAGAGAATAATAATAATAAAAAACTAAAAACAAAATCGAAGCGGCGTTTACCTTGTCCGTGTTGTTGAAGATGCAAATGGGGCCCATGGAGACCGTCCAGTTGCAGTGGCTGTTGTTTCTGTCGACGATCTCCTCTCCCTCGAGCTCCACCTCCGTCTCCACCTCGGTCTCGGCGCGGGCCCTGCAGGTGGCCATCCCCAGCAGGAGGAACACCGCGAGCGCCAGGGACCCCGACTTCATGGCGAATCCGTCGGGTGAGGAATGGGTAGGTGGCGTCCCTTCGGCGAAGACTCCGCTGCGGAATCGAACACGGTGTAAGTCACAAAAGAGAGACAGAGTGAGAGAGAGGGGGAGAGAGCGTGAGTTTCCCCCTATTTACTCTCTGAATGAATCTCTCTCCTCTGGCTATTTCTTCGCCGGAATGAGGAGGAGAGAGAAAGCACAACACCGGGCAGGAGGCGATAAATACCCCCGCGGCGAACACGGATGGAACTGACTGTCGCCGCTGCGTTCGGGTATCGC